TGGCTCAGAGATCACTCAAGGTGGCCCCAGGGGACCATAAGGGGAGCGGAAGATTGAACATGGGTGAGGCATGTGCACAGTGTCTGACCTGCTGTCCTATTGCTCCAGCCCAATCTGCTTGAACCTGCTCCCAATTCAAAACATTTTCAAAGGAGCCTTAAACTGCTTCAGGGAAAACAAGCAGTCTTTACCCCCTTTCACATCCGAAATACAAAAGGAACCCAAGGGACTAGAGAGACAGCACCGAGGTTAGGCATGTGCTATGTGGGGACCAGCCTCAGTTCAACCTCTGGCACCACTTGGACCAGGATCTGGGGGCTCCAGGGAACTGCTGAACTGGCCCTGGGAATACCCAGCTCCCTGGGGCCCAAGAAGCACTGCACCTTTACGTAGAACCACTGGCTCCATTGGCCGGTGAATCACCGAGAGGGCTCTCCAGCCTCCTGAACAATACCTAGAAGATACCCTGGCTTTCCCCCACTAAAAAGAGGACCATGAATAAGTATTAGTTAAATAAATAAGAATTTGGTTGCAGAGACCTTAGTGTGTTAGTAGTGGAATTGATCAGTTGCTTGAAGAGCAACCAGCAACTTGCTAGGACAGAGAAAGACATTGAAACATTCTGAGACAACAGATATACAAAGTGGAGATCAGGACAGAATGTGCATATTATTCAGTAGCATGGAAGTGAGACTCACCACAGGGACAAAATGTCCTGGATCAGTCTCCAGGTACCCCATCTCTGAGAAATTATAACATAGGTCAAGTTAATAAAAATTCCTTAGAACACCAAAAGTTTTGCCAAATAGTGATAGTGAGAAAAGTCATAAAATGTGATTAAATTTCATGTTTCTGGGGGGTAGAGAATAGAACAGCAGGTAGGGTGCTTTCCTTGCAACGTGAGTTTGATCCCTGGCATCTCATATGGTCCTCCAAGAACCACTAGGAGTGATACCTGAGCACCACCAGGTGTGGTTCAAACATGTCTTTATTATGTATTTCATGTAAGTAGAAAGTTGATTGAGAGAGAAGAGTTGTAAATGACTTCAAAGATTTTTGCAAGAATGACTTGGAAGGCAGAAAATGAACAGATAGGGACATGGGTAGGTATCACCCAGAGTTCATCTGCTAACATCTAAAGCTTTACCTGCTTAAGATACTCAAACAGAGATTATAACAAGGAAATTAAACAAAAAAGTCTGAAGTCCCAGTGGAGGAGCAACCTAAAGATAAAACTGAGGACCAAAAGCTTATAAATGATGCCAAGTCATAGACTGTGTGTTGGAGAGACAGTCCAGTAGATACTGGATGATTGTCTTACATGTAGTTAACCCAGGTTCAATCCCGAGCACTGCATGTGGTCCCCTAAACATGTCCAACTTTGATGCCTGAGCACAGAGCCGAGAGTAAACTCTGAATCCCCAAAACAAATATTCAAAAGACTGGTTTAGCTCATTTCAGAAAAAGTAAAACTAGAGGAAATAAGTCTAGGTACTGAGTTCATTAGTTCTCCAATAGTTGGAGGTCAGGGAGAAAAATAACAAGAAAGAAACATCCAAGGGTTTAGGAGACTTTTTCTTCTAAATATTTAATACTACTAAATATTAAAAATTCACCAGGAAGATATAAAAATCCTAAATTTGTGCAAATCTAAACAAATCATAAAAAATGTACAAAGAAAACATTAACAAAAAAGCAGTGTATAGATCCAAAATCAGAGTTGGAGGTTTTGACACTGTCAATAGAAATAGAGCAATAAGAATGTGGGTATGTATACGACTATGAGAACAACAGTGCAGTTAACCCTTCAGATCTGAGGCTTCACATATGTGGGTTCACGCAACCGTGGTTTCCAAACACGGACTGACACACTTACCCAGCATGAACTCCATTTGATCTCCATATACTGCATGGCTCCCAAAGCGCCTCCAGGTTTGGCCTGGTGGTCCCCCAACAGTACTGGGCCTGAGAAGCACTGCATTACTGGCCCAAACATGGAATCTTTAGGCCTGTACAGCCAAGCCTGGCTCAGTATCACTGCAGCTGTTCTCCAGACCCCATATCTAGCATTTACATTGCATTGGAAACAACTTGTAGATAGAATATGCAAGTAAACATTATATTCAATTGCTATACCATTTTATGAGATTTTAGCATCCTTAGAGTTAAACCCTGAACCAATATCCCATAGATTTGGAGACACACACACACACACACACACACACACACACACACACACATATCTATTACATAAAAGTTACAGCTCTGAAAATGTAAATTTTCATAAATATCAACAGAGACCAGCAATCCCAAGAGTAGAAATGGCTGGTTAGCACTTTTGATTCTGGGACTTGAGAACAAGGGAATAAGTGTTTTTACTAGAGTGTAGAAACTGGGCAAACTGAGAGATGATGTAGTCTCAGCATATCTGTTCAGTGAGCGAGCACTAATCAGAGAGCTCTTGAGGTAGAAGGAATACGAGAAATGCCCTAACTTTGTTCTTCCTCCACCCTCCAATCTCCTACCAAGTATGCTTGCTGAATACAACTGATGAAAGTTGACTGGAAACAGAACACGCAGAGGAATCCCTACATCTACAGGGAAAGAAACAAACGAGGCAAGAAAAAAACCATCTGCACATTATATCCCATTCTTTGTACTTCATTGGAAGTGCAGTGGAGAGTTATTGACATTTCAAGCAGCAAATCCAAGTCTATTAGGCATTTTTCAAATCTTAACCATTCTGCAGTAGAAACATTGCAGTGGAAAAAGGTCATTAGTCATGATGGGTAGTTGTATATGTCAACTGCAATGGGCTCAGGGATACCCCGAAAGCTGTTAGCTGCTATTTCTAGTTTTCCATTTGAATCAGTAGGCTGAGTAAAGGATTCTCCCTCTCCAATATGGGCCCACATGGGCATGATCCAATCCCTTGAGAGAACAAATGGTATTAGAGGAAGACACATTTGTTTCCTTTCTTCTTTGGGTGGCACATTTATCTTCTCTACACAGAAACAAGAGTTTCTGATTCTTGGGCCTTTGGGTTTGGTGCTTACTCCAATGGCCTCCACAGTTCTTAATCAAACCTTCAGACTCATTACAATATATTTCTAGTTTTCCTAGTTCTCTCACTAGCAAATACAATATTATTTAGCACATTAGTTATGAAAATTGTACTCTCCACAATCTCATAAACTAAATTCTATGATTTCCTGTGTGTGTGTATGTGTGTGTGTATTGACTCCATTTCTCTGAAGAACCCTAACACAATGGTGGCCATAATATTTATGAGACCTATTGCATCTTTCTAGGCAAATATTATGGTAATCTTACAAAATATGTGACAGAGGAGTAGATTGTCTTTGAGAAAGATAGACTTGCCAAGACAAAAGAATTGATGACCAAGGAGGAAAATGCAGGGCTCAAAAATAGCTCCCAAGTTTCTATCTTGGACAACAGCAGAAAGTAGACAACTCATTTGCTGAGATAAAAAAAAGAGGAAAGTATCTAACAAAAAGAGATAAATTTAGTGTTGATACTTTTTTTAAGTAATCAAAATTGTAAGCAACTGATGACTTCAGCTCTGGAAGACGCCATCAGCACATTTCTGCTACCTGAAACCAAGGACGGCAGTAAGAACACCAAATTATGCACAGTCAAACACGGGTGTAGACTGGGGAAATTTTCAAGAAAGAGAAACAATATCAAAAAGAAGTCAAAAAAGATGTCGGAAGAAACTAAAGATAACATAATGACAGGAATTCAGGGAAAATGTGTTATGTACAAAAAGTGATTGAAAAGTCAGTTTAGAACTAAGATATGGCCTCAATGGGCATTATTTCTCTAGAAGCTGGGAACTTGATTAGATTGTAAGATAAGAAATCAGTATGAACAAGTGGAATCAGAATGTTTATTGGCAAATGGAAAAGAGTCTAGTACAGTGGTGAAGGTGAACTTTCTTGGACCATAACATTGTCATTTTTTGAGCAATAAGGAAGACAATAAAAACAGAGTTTTGAGAATGTAACTTTGGTACACTATAAGAACATGGGGGATAACATTTTTTATATCCCAACTTCTATCAATATACAATCCCTCTTCTTTGAATTATAGAAACGTCAGACATCAAAGTCATCTTCAGCAAGTATACCCAAGGATCTAGCTAAGCACCCTAAGATCCTAAAATGAATTTATCCTGATCAACACTTGTTGCTACCAGATCGAGGCCCAGCTGGTGGTCCCAAGATGTCTAAGTTAGTGCTTAAACCGGTTCCCATCTGCTTGCTCCCATCATCTGTTTTTGGTTGTTTTGAGATTTTCAAATGTCAATAGTGCTATCAGAGATCATATCACAGTACTTGATATGGTTCAATTGTCCTTTTTGGCTGACTCACATAGACTTCTTCTAGTTCACCCAGATATTGGCTCTTCAAAACAGCTAGAACAACTGTTTGTGTATGATGTGTGTACTTGTTTTATATTCACTAATAATAGCTGCAAGTCACTAAGTGTTATTTATTGACAGGGAATGTTTCATTTACATTAACTCATTTAATTTTCATTGGAAGGTATGATTATCATCGTTCCTCTTTTTCACCTGAGGAAATTGAGACATGGAGAAGTAACATAATTAGACTAACACCACATACCTAATAAATTGGGAAGAAATAATCTCAATCCCCAATTCTCATGTCCTTTATAGGATACAAATTGACCATACAAGGGGTGATGTCTACAGCTAAACCCCATATGAGACAGAATATGAGTCTATCCCAGAAAAAGAGTGACCAGTTAAATAAATCCTCCTTCCACAAACACAGGGGCCATTTTCCCACTCATGCAAATGTCCGTTAGACACACATTGGTCAGGTCTGGATGTGTTGAATTAATTGGAATCTCCCTCCTCACCTATACACATCACTAGTAGATCTGCTGTGTTATCTGAGAAGAAAATTTGAGACTTATAACAATCAAGTTATTTTTACCTTTTTTCCTCACAGAGATATTTCTAGAACCAGGATACATTCCCTGCCTAGTTATGGCTTAGAAAATCTTAAGAAGCTACGGGCCAGGTCGACATACAACTTAAAAAAGCTTCCAAGTATGGAAAAGTTGGTCTCTCTCATGGAGGCTAGCCTCACCTATCCCAGCCACTGCTGTGCCTTTGCAAATTGGAGGCGGCAAATGTGAGTTTTCCCATGTTCATCCTATGAACCCTGGTTAGGTGTTTCCCTAAGACTAGCTTAGACTTACTCCATAGTTCCTGCTTATCTGTGGCAGCGAGTTCCTTGGGATATTCTACATCACAGATACAGTTTTGTGCAGAAGGATAAACGGTTGGAGTCCTCTAATTTCTTTAAACATAGGCACATAGGAGAAACCTGCCTGTGTGGCAGAACACCTAAAAATATTAAATATAAGAGCACTAAAAACACCAAACATGTGCCTGACACATAGCTGATGATTATAAGTACTTTTTGTTCTTTGTACCAATATGGATTTGCTCATCAAATCTCAAACTCTCATCAAGTCTCAAACTCTACATCCCCTAATGTCCCAAAACCTGATATCAACTTTGGAGCAAAGTACAAATGCCATCCCAGACACTTGACACAGTCACAGCATATCCTGACAACTTCAGTGTCTCTAACCTACGTGAGAATCTGAGCACAACACAGAGAGATCAGAGTCTGGGACATATATGTACTTGGTCATTCAAAGTCAATAACCCTTCAGAAAGTCCAAAGTAAAAATGAAATTCAAATAGAACTAAGTCCCAGTAGATAACTGATTGAAGAGTTGAAGTCGGGCCAAACAGATCATACAAGGTTAAAGGTGACTGCATTGCATATGGCTGATCAAAGTTCAGCCCCCAGCACCACTGCAGTAACACTTTGGGTCCTATCTGGCACCACAAAGCCAAAGCAGTACCAAGTCTTTAGGCCCCTAAGTTGAACTTCCCACCCAGTTTTCTGAGAATTTTTTGAAGGGACCCCTCACCCAGTGAGCACTAGTTAGGAGCCAGTCTCCCAAAAGGAAACAATCTATTGAAAATAATCACTTATTGTAGATGTAGAATTCTCGGGTTTTCTCACCCTCACCACCACCCCGCCCCCGCCACTCCCAGAACTCACTCATGCTATCTCTGTTGTGCAGTTGCAATCATAGGACGCCCAGCACCAAGGCAGCTTCTTGCACTAGTTCATTATTCAAACAGTCCCTTCTATTATTCAGCCGCTAATCTGCCCACTAACATATCCCCCGCTCAAAAATAAAATAGTTCAAAGCCTAAAATATCTCCAAAGTTAGTTGGCATCTACACTCAGACCCAGGATTTTCAAAAAGAGGACTATGTTTCAGAATTAGCATAGATCACTTGGAAACTAGCTAGAATTCAGCCCTCCTCAAGAGCATGAGTCAAGGAGTGTCTTTTAAGGACTGAGCTGAGACATAAAGCTTACCTCTTTTACATTCCCAGTAAGAATCATTCTGTAGCCAGAACAAGATAAGCCACTTTGCCACCAAACCTCTAGAAATGAACTTCCCTCTGGGAAAATCTCTACAGAAATATGATTACTGTAGGAGGTGCACATGGTTTGCTGTCTGGCCTGGCACAGCCAAGAGACCACAGGAGTAACTCATCTTACTGTGACCCTAGAAGTACCTCATCTTACTGTGACCCTAAGAGTACCTCGTTTTATTGTGACCCTTGGAGTACCCTGTCTTACTCTGGCCCTAGGAATACCTCATCTTACTCTTTTGCTCATACCTCTCTGATCTTGTCACCCACTGGTACAGCACAGAGAGCATCAGGTCTCCCTCATGCAGAAATCTCCAGGTATGTCTTACATTATTCTATGGTTTGGAGTTTCCCCTGATCCCTCCACTTTATCCAGCTCTCACCTGCTCTGAATCCTCTGAAGGATTAGTTAATCTTTAATTAATGTTAAAGCCCTCAGTGTTCATCAGGTATCCACAACCTCTGCCCCTCAGAAAACATGACAAAATGGAGTAACAGAAATTGCAGGTCAGATGTTGAATTTTATATTTAAAAATATTCACATATACACAATACAATAGTCATACTATTCAGAAGATAAATGCATGGCTTATTTTTAAAAATCATGTTAACTTATAATTTATAGGTATGGTTTGGTAATGAAATTTGATTAATGTTATATTATGATAAAATTATATCATTATTATATAATGATAATTAATGTTATATTATAAAATATTTTCTTCCAATTCACATTTGAAATAATACAAAAGCATAAAGGTTGAGCCCTTGTAACAGAGGTTTTGGCCAATGAAACTCCTGAACTGTTTCCAAAGTCTTTATTGGCCCAGATCCTCAAATGTCATTAAAGGATCTATTGCCTTGATGTAAGTTTATACTCAACTTATATTACAAATTTGCTTGTTTTATTCTCTAATTTTTCTCAGATAGATTTTTAAAAACTGATGTATCTTTGCATATATTTCTAAGTACCTACATAGTAACTAAATTTAATACCGGAAATCTCAGATGCGGACCCTCTAGTATATCTCAAAGCATATGTCACGCGTGTTTTAAAGCCCTATTCATTGATTGGTTCAGTCTGGACCAAAAATACCACTTTTTAAGGCAATGCTAAACTGGCCTCCAAACTCTTTATGTACCATTCTGCCAGGCCTATATTCTTTTTGGTTTCCATTTTTATTTCTCTTCTTTTCTCAGAGAATTATTGCTCATCTTTTCCTCTTTCATATCATTTGGCTCGCTGTTGTTTTGAGAAGTGGAATACCAATATTTAACACAAGCCAACAATGCCAGAGGTATAACTCCATGGTAGAGCACTCGCCTCTCTTATATGAGGCTCTGGCTTTAATCCCTGCCACCACACAAAGAGGAGAAAATATTTTGGAAGCAATATCAACAATAAGAATTGTCTAAGAGCAGGAAAGGAGTCCCAGGAAGGGGCTCCCTCTAGATGCCTAAATTGAATCCGTTCCCATGAACCACACTGCAGTCTGAAGGCAGCAGGTTTAAGCTGGGCCTCTACTAACTCAATGACAGATTGCAGGAGTTGGGACATAGACTACAGATCACAGATTACTTTGCTTGTCACCTCTAAGCCTATGCTCCTCACTAAGCTTAGCTCACCTTCCTTGTGAGAACTCTGACTAAATCAAACTAAACTTGATTTCCATCCCCCAAAGTGTTCATTATAGAGCCTCTCCAAGCTATGGCTTCAAAACAGAACTGCTACTTTTTCTGTCCCTCCATGTATTACTCAGCTGTCTATGTAGAATAATTATAATTTCCTTTCATTCAAATCTCTTCATTTTTTGTTTTGGTTTTGTTCTGGGGCCACACTAGGCAATCAACCAATGCTCAGGGGTTACTCCTAACTCTGCACTTAGGAATCACCCCTGACAGTCTTGGGGGACCACATGGGATGTTAGGGACCAAACTTGGGTTGACCTCTTGCAAAGCAAGAGTCCTACATACTGTACATATTCCAGCCTGCATTCTAATCTCTTCTGAATATGCCTCTGTTCTGTTGGCCATACTTCTTTCAAATTTGAGTCTAAAGGGAAAATCAAGACATAACAGTGAATCCAATGGCTTGGAGTGATAGTATGGAAGGTGGGCTGTTTGCCTTAAACATGTCAACCCAGGTTTGGTCCCCAGCACCCCATATGGTTCCCTAAGTCCATCAGGAGTGATCCCTGAGTGCAGAGCCAGGAGTAAGCCCCAGGAACTGTTGGGTGTAGCAAAAAAAATATTTTAGAAAGTGTGTTCAAAAAGAAACAGGGTTCCTGAAAGATGAGCAACAATCTTCATCGCAATTAGGCTTCATCTCGACCTGCATTCACTCTTTCTTTCAGACACTCTGACGCTCTTTCAGACACTCAAGAGGAAACTATTTAAGTGAATCAGGCTTATATCACAGACAAATGCAAGTCAGAGACCTGTGGTAGCCCCAGGGAATGAGATAACAAACACTAGGATCCTTTGGGGGAAATCAGCTGGTATCCAGTAGTTCAAGTATCAAAGAGGCAGAGAATGGAGCTGACTGGGAATAACTAACTAATGTAAGCTGCTAAAAGATAAAGGCAGCAAATAAAATTCTCATTTGAGTCAGAAATGGTCCAGATCTTGCAGTTGAGTGTGTAAAGTGTTGAAAGGAGGATGTGTCCTAGTCTAGCATACTAAGACATCATTGAATGGAGGTGGGGTGGGGGTGGGAGGGGTGAAAGGCAGAGTTGATACCAGGCCTGTAAATTATTTGCACTTAATAGCAAGACCAAGCTAGTCTCAGGCGCCTTCCTCCCCACATTCAGGTTGTGGCCAGATGGTTTCCCTCGTGGCCCATCCAACTCTAGGAACGAATATACATGACTTGTTCTGTTCATTTACAGTAAGCAGCATTAACCCTTGATCTTGGCCTCAAAGGCAGACAAACTGTTAGAAGAAGAGAAAAAGGTTCAGGAAGAAATCCCATCAGTGTGTGCAGAAAGTGATCTATGTACCATTCCAGACGCAGGATGTTGATCATATTCCTTTTCATATTTTTTCCAGCTCTGAACTTCATCCAATTTGCAACAAATCAATTTTAAAGCAAGATGTTGATGAGACTCAGGCAAGTGGTCACAGAGTTTACTGGGCTGAAGATGAAGAGTCCAGTTACATCAAAGGATTTGACACGATGGATGGTGACTTTGACTATGGTTTGTGCAATGAAATTGTTGATGTGACGTGCTCTCCTGAGCCAGATGCATTCAACCCATGCGAAGACATCATGGGGTATGATATTCTCAGAGTCCTGATATGGTTCATTAGCATCCTGGCCATCACAGGGAACATTGTAGTATTAGTGATATTGATTACCAGTCAGTACAAACTCACGGTGCCTCGGTTCCTTATGTGCAACCTGGCCTTTGCTGATTTCTGCATTGGAATTTACCTGTTGCTCATAGCATCTGTGGATATCCACACCAAGAGTCAGTATCACAACTACGCCATTGACTGGCAAACTGGAGCAGGCTGTGATGCCGCTGGCTTTTTCACGGTTTTTGCCAGTGAGCTCTCTGTGTACACGCTGACAGCCATCACTCTGGAAAGGTGGCATACCATAACCCATGCCATGCAGCTCGACTGCAAGGTGCAGCTCCGCCATGCTGCCAGCGTCATGCTGGTTGGGTGGATCTTTGCTTTTGCAGCTGCTCTCCTTCCCATCGTCGGCATCAGCAGCTACATGAAGGTGAGCATCTGTCTGCCCATGGACATCGACAGCTCCATGTCACAACTCTACGTCATGTCCCTCCTTGTGCTCAATGTCTTGGCCTTTGTTATCATCTGTGGCTGCTATACCCACATCTACCTCACGGTGAGGAACCCCAATATTGTGTCTTCCTCTAGCGACACCAAGATCGCCAAGCGTATGGCCATGCTCATCTTTACGGACTTCCTCTGCATGGCGCCCATCTCCTTCTTTGCCATCTCTGCTTCCCTCAAGGTGCCCCTCATCACCGTGTCTAAGTCAAAGATCCTCTTGGTCCTGTTCTACCCCATCAACTCTTGTGCCAACCCCTTTCTCTATGCCATCTTCACCAAGAATTTTCGCAGGGATTTCTTCATTTTGTTGAGCAAGTTTGGCTGCTATGAAATGCAAGCCCACATTTATAAGACAGATACCTCATCCACTGCACACAACTCCCATTTAAGGAATGGCCACTGCTCTTCAGCTCATAGGGTCACCAATGGTTCCAGTTACACACTTGTCCCTTTAAACCCTTTATCCCACAACTAAAATATGATGTACAAATGTATCTGAGTCATGACAATGCTTGCCTTTGAAAAATATTCATGGGACAGCTGACTGTTTTCCCACATACTTTTATATACATATAATTTAATCTTCTTGGCATATCATGCAGGTACTATTAACTTCATATGGTGGTTTAAGAAGATAGAGTATTATAACAGTGATTAAAACAATGCAATACTATACGACATTTGTTTCTTTTCCTTTATAATTTTCAAAGTAATTTTGTTCAAATTATCTTCCCTGACTCTTCTTAATGTCTTATACAGGAAAGAGATGGGTTATTCATAGAGTTTTATAGACAAGGAAATGAAGATCTAATGTGCTATGTGAGTCTGCTCCTTTATAGGTTTAGGGATTGAATATTCTGACTTCATTTATTCTACAAACATTTGTTATGATGCCTTTGTAATCTGTCAACTTGCACTGACTTAAATACATTTTCCAGAATCCCCTTTCTTACAGTTCCCATCAAGGTGGATCACAGGGAAGACTCTTTTGGAAAACAGAAGAGCAGAAGGGGAACAGCAGCTCCCTTATCACTCGCTCACTTTGCTGCTGATTTGCTAATTCAACTCCCTGTGTGGGCAGCAAGTGAGCTTGCATTTCTTACCCCTCCCCCTTGGTCCTCCAGGTTCTCTGACTCCTGAGCCCGGTGTTAGCATTTAGCAAAGTGACAAAGGGCCTCAGATGCTTCTATAGAACCCTGTTATCACCAAAAGCAAAGAGAGGAAACAGGCTCTATTTGTCCTTGTGGTTGTTCCATCTCTAAGGTTTCCATCATAAATCTTCTCCCTTTATGACTGTCTGTCCAGACTTCAAGATCCATCCCCAGATATAGAAACATTTTGGGGCTAGAGTGATAGTACAGAGGGTAGGGTATTGGTCTTGTATTATGGCTGACCTAGGTTTGATTCCCGGCACCCTTTATATAGTCCCCTAAGCCCATCAGGAGTGATCCCTGAGTGCAGAGCCAGTAAGTAAGCCCTGAGCACCACTGGTTATGGCCCCCAAACCAAAACAAAGATGTAGAAATATTTTACAGAGACTGTTTTACCAGTCCCCATTATAATTGTGTAATTCCTGTGACAAATACCAGAGTATGTGTATGACTAGTTCTGATTCCTTAGTTGAACCCTAGTGGATGGGAGGTACAAATTACTATGTGACATAATAGTGAATTAGACTAAGAGCACAGAAGCCTTGAAATAAGAGCGAAGATTTTATTCTGACTCTGATAAATCAGTCTTCCATTTATGTATGCTCGGTCTTTTGTAAACTGGAGATAGTAGCAATGCATAACTGTCACATACTGTAAGTAGTGGGTATGAAAATGGGTACTAAGTGCCTTACGATATGAGTAAATGTTAGTATGCTTTTCTCCTTCCTGAAAGAGTTCCCAATCCTTCTGATCCTTGATTTAGGACTCATTCCACTTTGCCAGATGGACCCTCACACATAGCTATACTCCTCATATATGTTTTCATAAATGACCACATCTGGATAATCTTTATGTTAAAAATACATATTGAAAACCCTCACAAGCCCTATGTCCAACCCACAAAACTTCGCTTCTCCTCTATATTCTTACATGCCAAATTCAATCCCTCCCTCTCCTTCTATTGCAAATTTTTTAAAATTTGGTTCTAAATACTTTACCAGGGAGGTTCTTATCAGAAGAAAAATCAGTCATCTCTGCCTTTATAACTTGACACTAGTACCTTGATCTATTGTGATCATTGAGTAAAAAAAAAAAAAATAGAAGAATTGTTCTTGTAAAGAGTCAAGAGCTGTGCTATATTACACATTATCCTCTGGTCACATATGGCTAGGGAGCACTAGAAATATGGCATGCCTCCATTCAGGCTGACCATATGTGTAAGTATATACCAATTTCAAAGCAGGGGTTGGTAGGACATACACTTTCTCATTAGTAATTCTTATACTGAGTATATATTGAAAAAACTATTTTTGACATATTGGAATAAACATATTGAAAATTAATTTCACCTATTTATCTTTAAATTTTTGAATGTGACTATTACAAAAATGAAAACTACTTGTGCAGGTCTCGTTTGTGGCTCATGCTACATCCTATTAGAGAAGGCTGGGTTAGAACATGGGTTTTAAATCAGCATTCGCTCCAGATCCACATAGAAGTTTGTCATGCTGCTGGACTGTTCTCCATCTGAGTGAGTCATTCTTTATAAGCAGCTGCAAGGTTTTTCTGGCTTTTGACTGAAAAATAAGTAGCAACTAAATTAAAAATAAGATGTAGCATTAATTCTTTTCCAAATGCTGATGGCACCTTAATTTACTAGACAGTGTTTCCAAGAACATATTCAGAGTCAAATATTAAGTACTAGGAGAAGCTCTGAAGATAAGCACCACAATCCTCTCTCTTAGCACTTCCTGGTAAGAGGTAAGACTTTATGTAAATTAGTAAATACCTAGGAAGAGCTAAAATCAATAGTTTTAAGTCTTTAGGAAAGACTTAAGGAAACACTTCCTGCGTTTCCATATTTGAATAAAAACAACTGGAATCCAAAGTATCAATAACTCTCAGCATTAAAGAGCAATTACACAGGGATAATCCCTTTGTGGCCTTCCTATGGGGGTGCTTTGCTCCCAAAATAGAGCCAGATGAAAAGACAAAAGGGAATGAAATGAATAAAAAGGAAAATGTGAGATGTTTCAAATCTCAGATACCGTGATAACCAGTGATATCTAGTAGAGATGTCTTCAAGTATCCATGCCACCAGAAATGATCAAAATGTGAAGACTGATTCACCCAAGGCTCCTATCTCTCAGAATGGACAAGTCATTTGACAATCCTGGTGCAAACCAAATGGATGCCAAAACTGGGTTTTCCTAATCTCAGCTAGGCCTCTCTCTGTCTGTTTCCTCTTTCTTACACCCACCATAAACTCCCTTAGTTCCTTCCTGGTCGGCACGTTGGAGTCTCAATCATGAACCCAAGAGCAGTGAGATAAGGTAGGTTCCATCTTATTAGTTTCATATTGGAGAGATTGAGTTGTAAATCCAGAGATTTTAGGAAATGAAATTCAAAAGCAGCACTGTAGCACTGTCCCCCCGTTGTTCATCGATTTGCTCGAGTGGGCACCAGTAATGTTTCCATTGTGAGATTTGTTACTGTTTTTGGCATATCGAATATGCCACCAGGAGTTTGCCAGGTTCTGCCTGCGTGTGGGATAGCTCTCCAAGAGGAACTGAGGAATCGAACCTGGGTCGGCTGTGTGCAAGGCAAACGCCCTACCCACTGTGCTATCATTCCAGTCCAAATTAAAAAGTAAAAGAAGAAAAATCAGGTACAGGTTTCTCCTGCTATTCAGAAATAAGCATTCCCATTTGGTGTTGTTTAAAAAGTTATTCTTGGGTTTGGTAATGTTATTATCATTCATAGATATGAGGAAGGGCAGAAATGAGCATCTCAGATCCCCACATAAGTAAACCATGCCAAACAGGAAAGTTCTATTTGCAGGTAATGAGAGAAAGAAACCCTTACACAGATGAAAAAACAATTTTTATTTTGTCACATACAGAGGCTACAATGGGGATAGACATGGCACTAAGAATTATTTCACTAGAAGGTTCTATGTGTTAAATTTGGGAAAACTTTAAGCCTTGTTTCTGAGGAACAAATAGGAGAGGGAATGAAAGAAGAAAGCCCTTCTACACTATAGCACAGCAATGGGCTACAAATCTAGCGGAAGTGACACTCTTTTTTCCATCAGCACCATATAGCATTCATGAGAAATAGGAAAAAGACCACTGAAATCGATTTTTTTATTCCATGCTACAGTCACAATATTTAGGGTCACAAAGTATATTTTATTAGTAAAAGTCTGTGAAGACATAAACGGGTAATGGACTCAGCTTCCAGATAACAAGGGAAATTGAAGATATAAGGCAAATATATGGGAAGTTTTGTAGTTTGCATAAAATATAATAGTCCATCTTTGAAAAATGTAAGTCCATTAAAGAAATGAAGTAGAAGAACAGGACATGCCCAAGTGTGAAGTTGTACTTGCTGGTTCTCCTCAAAACCTCTTTGACTGCAATAAACAGGAACTCCAGCCAAGAATGACTTTGATGAGACCAATTTCATAAAGAGCTGCAAACTTGGAGAGACAACTCACTGGTCTCAAGGACCTTTCCATATTTCTGTCCACCCACTTTAGACTGGTTATCTCTGAATCTATCAATCTCTGAGTCTCTGCATCTCTGAATTCTGAAACTCAGAGCAAGTTTGCTTTGGCAGTTTCAGATACCATATGCTGGCATAGCCAAATTCAGAAACAATAGCAGTCTTTCCTTTCATCCGTTTCTCCAAAACAATAAAAATTTCTCCTTGTAGAGTTTCAGCAATCATTTCTCCAACTCATTTTCCAAAATTACTCCTCTGACTTCAAGAGAGCTGGCAACATGAATCTCCACCACCACCACAGAGTAGAAGACTGGCTCCAGCCGCCAGGAGCACGGAAGAAAAAGCAGTAGTGAAGAATGATCAGGTATAAGGCCAGATAGATAGTTCAGTGGGTAAGGTACCTACCTTGCATGTAGCTATCCTGAGTTTGATCCTCAGCACTCCATGTGGTCCTCTGATCCCTACCAAGAATAATCCCTGAGTGTAGAGCCAATTACTCTTTCTGTTAGCCAAATCCATTCTCTCTGCAGCAAAGTCCAAAAGCAACCAAAGCAATCACACACTGCCCACCCCCGCCCCCATCAATACTATGGGCTCTTGGTTGAGATAAAATGTGGAAAAAGAAAATTAGAAACAGAAGATAGAAAAGGAAATGATTATAGAAGAAATTCACAGAGCAAGATGAGGGAAGACACGAGGAAAACATGGAGAGCTAGACAAGACAAAATAAAGAAAGGAACAAGATAGAAGTAGGTTTTGATTGTATTTTCCTCTGGATTAGGTCATAACTAAATATATTATAAAACCCTTTCAATTTCTTACAAAGAGTTGAACTCAAAACATGAAATGAGCTTAGTCTTGGATCAAAGGAG